TAAAACTCTTTTCTATGAATAATTTTACTATGTACTTCCATAATACTCCTAGTCACTTTAAAAAAAAAAAGGCTGGACAAAGCAAACCATTTCCAATTGTTTGAGAATCCAGTGAATTCCTCCCTGGCTTGGGCTACATGGAATGTAGTCTGAGAAGGAGACCTATGTTTTCCTTTCTCTTTCCCCACACAGGAGAAACTTTCTAACAGGTTCATCAGAGCTGATCAGAAACTGCTTTAAGCACTCTGGGATTCTTTGATGTGCTTGTAACCACACGCAGTGTAAATCTCTGCTGACACTTCTCCCTGAGATCAGCTGTGCAGAGTACCTTATTCATAGCAGTTCTTTTGGCTGGTTGCCCTTCTTCATTCTCATGCATCGTGACTTCCTGTCTCCTCATCCGTACCATTCTGTGTCCTGGGGGCTCATCGCCGGCAGAGGCATGGCCAGGCGATGGGGTGACTGCTCAGCATGTTTGGGGGGAAGTGCAGGAGATGAGATGAAGTCTGAGAGGTGGCTGGGGTTAGCTTACACTGGGCTCATGAGCCACTGTGAGTGCTCAGACCTGATCCTGGCTGATGTGGGGAGTCCTTGGAGTGTGTTGTGTAGAGTGATAAGATCAGAGAGGTCAAGATCTCTCTGACCCTCCATGTATTGGCTGCAGTTAAGTGGCTGAGGGTGGAAGAGAGAGCCAGCTTAGGAAGTCACAGAAATAACCCAAGTGAAAGATGATGGTGGAATGGACCGAGATGGTAGCACTGGAAGAGCATGCAGAGATCCATTTCTAGATATATTTTTAGTGGAGACACGTTTTGTGATGGTTTAGAGGTAAATTGTGAGAAAGAAAGGTGTCCAGAGTTTTGACCTCAGCCACTGGAAGGCTGGAGCTGTCACTTACTAAAGTGGAGGGCAGATTTGGAGGTGGGAATCATCTTTACATTGTTACATTTAAGATGCCAGTTAGATTCAAGTGACATTGTTGGGTTAACCCTTGCATGTGTGTGTGTGTGTGTGTGTGTGTGTGTGTACGGGAGTCATCGGCATTTAAGAGATATTTAAAGCCCTGAAACTGGATGAGGTCACCAAGAGAATGACTGGACAAGAGGTCAGAGTGTTGAGGGACTTCCCTGGTGGTCCAGTGGTTAAGAACCCAGCTTTCAGCGCAGGGGCCACGGGGCCGACCCCTGGACGGGAACTGCAGATCCACATGTCCCAGGGCAGTTAAGCCCGCGTGCTGCAACCGCTGAGCTCGTGTGTTCTCACCCCGAGCTCCGCAATAGCAGAAGCCCCCTTGCACTGCCACAAAGACCCGGTGCAGCCAAAGTAAAACAATTTTTAAAAGTTCAGAGGGATGGTCTGGGAGTGTCTAGCATACAGAGGTCAGGGGACTAGAAAAGGAGGAGCTAATGAGATGAGAGAATCAAAAGGGATGAGATACTGATACCAAATTGGGGGAAAAAAATTGTTCCGAGGAGGGAGTGATCAACTGTATCTAATGTAGTTCAGTCAATAAGATGAGATTTGAGAATTAACTGTCAGTTTAGCCACATGGAAGTCACTGGATTTCTTAACAAGAACCGTTTTAGTGGAGTGCTGGGGATGAAAGCCTGAACAGAGTTTATTCAAGAGAAAATGGGAAGAGGGAGACTGGGCACAGTGACTGTGGACAATTATTTTAAGATTTGTAGATTAAAGGAGGGCAAAAAGATCTTACCTGGGGGGCAATGCAGGGTCAAGATTTTTTTTTCGCTAAAGTATATAGTGTATATAGAATAATAAATTTATATAAATGTATATAGTTCTATGGCTGATGACAGTAACTCTAGAGAATGAAAAATTCAGGAGAAAAAGTGAGAATTGCTAGACTAGTGTCTCTAGGTGGCTGAGAGAAGATGAGGCACAGTGGAGACGGGTACACATTTCCTGCAGAGGAAGGACAGGCCACAAATGCAGACGGAGGGTAGGATATGGCTGGGGACCCAGGGAAGTTCTCTTCCAACTCTGTTTTCTCATGGAAACAGGAAGCACGGTCATTAGCCGGGCAGAGGCAGGGGGAGTTCACCTTTGAGGTTAAAGAAGAGAAGGTATAAAATAGTCATTTAGGAAAGTGGGTCCTTGATGGAGAGGGGGGTGTGGGAGGATTGCTTGGCACCATCAAGGGTCCTGTTTGAAGTTAGTGGTCATGGATTTAAGGGGAAGCCCAGTCAGTGGGATCGTGTGCTTTTTCCGTCTGTGATCAGCTGCCCTACTAGAGATGCAGAATGGATGAGACTGTAAAACGGTTGCAGGACTGATGGATTCTGGGTTTTAATGTGGCTGAAGGGTTCAATAAAAGCAGGGTTTTGGAGGAAATGATCTGGAAAGATCAGAGGTGGTCAGTCAGAGGGTAGAGAGCCTCAAATAAGATTGTGGAGGGGGCACCGGTATTGATGATAGGATCTGGGGCAGCAGTTCTCAACCAGGAGCAATTTACCCCTGAATAGGGGAAATCTGTGGTTGTCTGAAGACATTGTTGGTTGTCACAAGTAGAAGGGGAGAAGACACTTCAGACACCTAGTAGAGGTCAGGGATGCTGCTAAACATCCATGAACAGGAGAGCCTCCATCCACAACAAAGACTAATGTGGCCTGATTGTCAGTAGTGCCATGATGGAGAAGTCCCATCTAGGCTATGATTATGGGAACTAGTAGCTGGGATAAGTCTGAGGACAAGATTATTGGAAAAAAGAAGATAAAGAGTAAGCCCATGGCGGATTCATATCAATGTATGGCAAAAAGCACTACAATATTGTAAAGTAATTAGCCTCCAACTAAAATAAATAAATTTTTAAAAAAAGAAGATAAAAAGACCAGGGTTTTGGAAATTTCTTCCTATGACTAGTGGAATCTCCAAGAATTACAAAAGGAGTAAGAGAAAGAGGGTCAGGGATAAGAGGAGGTTAACTAGCTATGTATGAAGTTATTTTATTTTTCTGCAACTAGCTGATTGGTTGGAGTTGGAATTGATTTTCCTGACTCTAAAAACTACATGTCCAAATTAGCCAGAGTGATGATATGTTGTTTTTAAAAGCCACTTGTTTTTTAACCAGTTTTGGCATAATTGTCTGTCTTAAATAGACTGTCTAAAAACCCATTTAGGGATTTGGTTGGTCTTTTTGGTCTTACATGACTGTAAACTTGGGCACTTGTCCTAGTTCCATCTTTAGATAACTTCTCAGGGTAACAGTTCTTGCAACTAGACCTTGTAGCAGGGATCTTGTTTGAGAAAATCATTGAGAAACTTATTTATTGATTTTAAAGACTGTGACTTTCCTCGCAGTGCTCGTCACAGTGGAGAAAGCTAGGCAGAGTCCCCCAGAGTAAACCAGGGCCAGGAACCAGCACTGCTTCCCGGCGGCAGTCGCAGCGCCCAGCCTCAGCTCTGCTTGGCTTTGAGCTCCTGCGCCCGGGGCCACTCCCCTGCTGCCCACAGAAGCAACGGGTGCCTTTTGTTTGCTTCTTGCTTAAAAGAAGGTCTTGTTTTGAGGTTTGGACCACGAATAATAATCGCTTGTTCTTTATAATAATAATCCACCCTCTTTAGCAGAAAAAAATCTACTTGATTCAGTGTGGCTATCAGTTTATTTAGAAGAATGGCCAAAAGTGCCCATTGTGTCCTGAGAATAAACATTTGGAAGATAGTTTGGGGGAATGGGGGAGTACTCTGGCTCTTCTTGGCCTGGAGTCATAAAGACCTCAGGAAGAAAAAATTCTGAAAATGACCATCAGTCCTGTGTGACAATACCCTTCCTTATTCTACTCATCTGTTACAGTCTAAGAATAATTGGAACACTGTAGATAGGGATTCTCTCCCAAGTATTTCTTCAAAAAATATCTTATTTTGAAAATGTGTGTTTTTACTCTTTTCTGCATTAGTTCTGTTTCCACTTTTAGGCCAGATTAGTTTCTTTCCAATCTTCATTTAGTCCATGAAAGAGTTTCTTTTTGGGTGAAGATTATTTTATCTTAGCAACAGTACTTTAATAATTCCCGCAGTTGCCTCTGATTGTCGATATTGAAATGATAGACATTTTGATGACTACTTCCTGGGCTTAGGCTAACTGAAGAATTCAACGGGTCGAGGAATATGTGACCCGGTGTGGTTATTATTTCTTGAGTACACATGTTCTCTGGGTAAGATTTCATTAATGAACACAAGATATGGTATGCGTTTTTCCCCCTTAAATATAGGAAAAGAGTGTGTTAAATAATGAACATGGCTTTAAAATAAAGTGATCTCTTACCTAGAACAGTTTAAATTGGTTTAAATATGGAAGATGAGAAAAGATCAACCTGATATAAATTGAAATGTAGGAGGTGAATATAAGAACCATTTAAAGAATTAAAAATCTGGCCTCCACATCATTAAAAACAGAGCATCAGAGAAGCGTGATAAGATGTCCTTCAGTAGATGAACTGATAAACTGAAGTACAAAGGATATTGTTCAGCAATAAAATGAAGTGATCTATCATGTCATGAAATGATATGAAGGAAGCTTAAATGAGAGAAGCTAGTCTGAAAAGGCTACATTAACAATATGATTCCAGCTATAGAATATTCTGGATGTTAGTGATACACTAATGCAAAGTGTTAACAATAGAGAAAACTGGAGCTTGGGGGAAGCAAGAGGGAATATATGGGAACTCGCTGCTCTTTTTTTTTTTGCATAAATTTCAGAGTCTTAACCTCTGGACCGCCAGGGAAGTCCCAGGAACTACCTACTCTCTGCAAACCTCAAACTGCTCTGAAAATTAAAAGTCTGTTCATTCAAAAGAAAACATACATATTAGGTAGAACTGAATTAGTAAAAATGTCTTCTTACTAAAAAACAAAAATTCAAGACTCTAATATACAGTGGTGGTGTATTACTATATACAGTTTGTAATGTTCTTTTATCTTTTCTTTGTCCTCAGAAAAATATGCACAGTGGTATTCATGCTAAATCCTACTCCTAAACTTTCCTTGTTCCTCTCTCTGCAGTGACATATGGTGTATCAGCCTTGGAGGTGTATACACCAAAAGAAATCTTCGTGGCAAATGGGACACAAGGGAAGCTGACATGCAAGTTCAAGTCTACTAACACAACTGGCACGCTGACCTCAGTCTCCTGGAGTTTCCAGCCAGAGGGGACTGACACCACAGTGTCGGTAGGAATGCTTATTCAATCTCTGCTGGTCCTATCTCATGGTGCTCTTTTTATTTTTTTAATTAGAGGATAATTAGAGGATATTATGGATATATAAAGGATATATATATTATCCTCTCATTAAATGATAATTAGAGGATATTATTTTTGAGTAAACTCCGGGAGTTGGTGATGGACAGAGAGGCCTGGGGTGCTGCCATTCATGGGGTCGCAAAGAGTTGGACACGACTGAGCGACTGAACTGAATTGAACTGAATGATGGTTTTCGCCATACATCAACGTGAATCCTTGTGAGGTATACACACGGCCCCTCCCTTTTGAAAGCCCACACCTCCCTCCCCTCCCACCCCATTAGGCCATAGAGTGCTGGTTTTGGGTTCTCTGCGTCATACATCAAATTACCAGGGGCTATCCACTGTACTTATAGTAATGGATATGATTCAGTGCTATTCTCTCCAATCACCCCGCTTTCTTCTCCCACTGCGTCCAAAAGTCTGTTCTTTATGTTTGTGTCTCCTTTGCTGCCCTGCATATTGGATTGTCAGTACTATCTTTTTAGATTCCATATATATGTGTTAATATACAATATTTGTCTTTCTCTTTCTGACTTATTTCACTCTGTATAATAGGCTCTAGGTTCATCCACCTCATTAGAACTGACTCAAATGCATTCTTTTTTTAGCTGAGTAATATTCCATTATGTATATGTACCACAATTTCCTTATCCATTCATCTGTCAATGGATATCTAGTTTGCTTCCATGTCCTAGCTATTGTAAATAGTGCTGCAATGAACACTGCGGTGCGTGTATCTTTTTCAATTCTGGTTTCCTTAGGGCATACACCCAGTAGTGGGATTGCTGGGTCGTATGATAGTTTCATTCTTAGTTTTTAAGGAATCTCCATACTGCTTTCCGTAGTGGCTGTATCACTTTGCATTCCTACCAACAGTGTTAAGAGGATTCCCTTTTATCCATATCCTCTCCAGCATGCATTGTTGGTAGACTTTTTGACGATGGCCATACTGACTCATGTCACGATAGCCTCATGAGATTCTTTACTTCTCTAGTGTGATTAATGCTGCATTCTTCTGATTGGGCAACTTGCAGAATAAGTCAGTGAGACTTCAGGGCCCTTTTCTTGCCTCAGACTCTCCAGGAAAAAAAAAAGTAAGTTCAGCATCTCTTAAATGCAACTTTTAATCTACATTGTTACCAATATTAATATCTCTATCATCTATCTAATGGGTTGGGATATATGCCTGATTTCCAAATCTTTGAGTGGACTTGTGTCCCTCAGGATTTATAAAAAGGGAGACCCTCGGGTGCTGTGCCTTAGAAGGAAGGAAAGATGAGGTAAAGTCAGAGATTACAGATTTAGTTAACTTCCTCATAGGGTCCACTTAGGTATGATTCTTGGTAAAATTCTAGAGCGAGTGAGAGCAGGAATCCATACAAATACCACATGGGAAAACAGAGCCAGAGGCATTCTGTTGCTTCCCGTAAACATGTTATTAATGTGGAAAATGTGTCCTATAGATGCAAAATTAAACACACAGATTTACCCAGCAGAGTTCAAAGAATTATTTTGTGATGATTTCCCACTGATATCTTTTGCCAGACTAGAAGTGAGGGACATAATCTATAGAAAGTAAAGCATCAAAAAAAAAAAAAGAAAGTAAAGCATCATCAGGAAGACATCCAGATGCTTTTTCCTTTGAAGGGCAGTTCTACTTATGCTCAAAACATCCTTGTCGTATGATCATGCATGTTTACATACCCTAAGCCTTAATATTAAAAGCATGCTGGGAACTTTCCCAGTGGTCCAGTGGTTAAGAATCTGCCTTCCGATGCAGGGCATGAGGGTTGGGTCCCTGGTTGAGGAACTAAGATCCTGCGTGCCTCAGGACAGCTAAACCTGCATGCTGCCACTACGTGCACCACATGTAGTTGGCACCACGGAGTCCATGTGCCACACCAAAGACCCAGTGCAGCCAAAAAATAAAAGGAGATTCTGTATTTCTGGTTAATACTGTATTTTAGCTAATCAATTTATACTTACATACCAATCTGATTATAGTTAATTCCAGAATGTTCAGCTACTGATACAGGATACTTTAACCCCCAGATGTTGGTGCACAGTTAATAAGATGAGTAGGATGCTCTTCATTTTTATAGATTTTCAAGAGAAGTAAAATCAAGCTCAAAATACCAAAGATGGCTTTTCTGGTCCATGGAATTAGGGTCCCTGTGTCTAAAACTGAGCTCATCTTTTCTACGCTATGTTCCCTTCTCTGCTAGTTGTTTTTGGATGTTTATTTTCTTCTAGGGACCTGATTTTTTGTTTTTTTAATCTTGTGTTTTGTTGGTGGGGTTTTTGTCCTTCCCTCTCCCATTCACAGCTTCTTCCCTTCCACTGCTCACACTCAACCAAGAAGTAAGAACATGTGCTGGATCTTCCTACTTTGTATCTGGCATCTAGATTTTTGTTAACCTTCCTGCTTCTCTGCTCCCCATTGCATGATAAAAACTCTGCCAGGGCTAGCGCAGTAACACCCTTGGTTATTCCTCCACTTTGCATCATCCATCTTTCAGGCCCTTCTTGCGGGGCCCCGGTTGCTTCTTTTTAAACCGTTTTTTTCCCTTCTTCCTTGCCTCTTCGGAATCCTCATGTTTCCCATTGCGAACCGCTCTGGTCTGGAATTCAGAACTCCTCACAGCTGTGTTCCAGCCCCACTTAGGTTCTCCTGTGTGATCTTCAGTCTAGCAAAAAGAACTCTATGCTTTGTTTTTCCACTTCTGAGCTCTTACCATTTAAGTTCTGTCCCATCTTCACATTCTAATCCCTCTAAATACCTTTTTTGACCTTTTAGCTGTTTTGGGGTGGGGGGGGCATGCCACAAGGCATTTGGGGTCTTAGTTCCCTGACCAGGGATTAAAACCGTGCCCTCTGCAATGGAAGCATTGAGTCTTAACCACTGGACCAAGAGGGAAGTCCTCCCTTTTTAGCTGTTCTTAAAACTCCCTGCCCACGTTATCTTGGCCACTCCTGTGAAAGAGTGTGCCTTACTAGAACACTTTTACTCTTCATTATCTTGAATGGAAGCATTTTAAGGGTAGAGACCTACCTTACACTTTTGATGTCCCTCACTGGCTTTTGCTTGATAAATGTTGGTTGATAAGGGGATCTGATTTCCCTGGTAGCTCAGTTGGTAAACAGTCTGCCTGCAATGCGGGAGACCTGGGTTTGATCCCTGGGTTGGGAAGATCCCCTGGAGAAGGAAATGTGCTGTTTTGGGGTGGGGGGGGCATGCCACAAGGCATTTGGGATCTTAGTTCCCTGACCAGGGATTAAAACCGTGCCCTCTGCAATGGAAGCGTTGAGTCTTAACCACTGGACCAAGAGGGAAGTCCTCCCTTTTTAGCTGTTCTTAAAACTCCCTGCCCACGTTATCTTGGCCACTCCTGTGAAAAAGGCCTTACTAGAACACTTTTACTCTTCATTATCTTGAATGGAAGCATTTTAAGGGTAGAGACCTATCTTACACTTTTGATGTCCCTCACTGGCTTTTGCTTGATAAATGTTGGTTGATAAGGAGATCTGATTTCCCTGGTAGCTCAGTTGGTAAAGAGTCTGCCTGCAATGCGGGAGACCTGGGTTTGATCCCTGGGTTGGGAAGATCCCCTGGAGAAGGAAATGGCAACCCACTCCAGTATTCTTGTCTGGAATTACTGGTGGACTACAGTCCATGGGGTCACAAAGAGTCGGATACGACTAAGTGACTTTCACTTTCAAGGAGATCTAGTCTCTTTTTTGTATGAGTTTCTTTTTTTTTTTTTTTAACCATTTTGTTACTCTTTCTTACTGATTTGATCAAATCACTATCAATCAGCGCAGTGCAGCAAACATATACAGTTCCAGTAGTGTGCCAAGTGCAGAGAAGCTCAGAGACAAATACAGTTTCAGAGGCATCAGGTCTAATGAGGCAGGGGTTGCAGGGACCCAGCAGTGGGAAAGGGTGTAGTATAGGTTTTCATTACTGTTTCAGAAATACAGGGCAGGGAGTGTCTATAGATGAGGTAGAAAGGAAAGTGGAGACCAGGTGACAGAAGGACTTGCTTGCTAAGCTAAGAGTTTGTGGTTTATTTCCTGGTAAAGGAGAGGGTGAAGGGCTTGGGCCAGGCAAGATAAGACATGAGAGGCATTAAAATGACAGAAATAGCTTAAGCTTTGAAATCAAAGCTGGGTTTGAATTTTGTCTCTTAAGACCTGTGACCTTAAAAAAGACCTGTGACCTTGAGTAAGTCACTAAGGTTCTGAGCCTCACTTTCCTCACTTGCAAAATATCTGGCAGGTGAACCTTACCTTGTAGAGTGGTTATGAGTGTCAGAATGTTATTTTTCATGGTATTTTGCATTTCTGTCCATCTTGTAAGCAGAGGCCTTGGCTGCCTTTGTTATACAGTGACTAGTCTTAGCAGGCGGAGAGGGTGTCTCCTTCTGGAGCGGAAGACGGGCTCGCTTACTGTGCACGATAGTAATATGTCTTCCTTTGGGGCAAAGGTCAGATGGGCTTGCTGCCCATTATAGAAGATTGGGGTTTTCCAAGCTGGGGGCTCTTCAGCTGTGATGCAGAACCTCTGTGTGCACAGCGTCCACCCTGGTCCCTCCATGCTGTCCTTGTGGATTCTGAGGGGCAGGGGCCACAGGTAAAAGCATGCTGCTGGCTGTTTGTAAGGAGTAGGGTTCTTTGTGTCCAAGTCTTCTCACAGGAGAACAAAGACTTCCCATGAGTCTTGTGTTTCTGCCAGCATCTGTAAACCTATGGCTGACTTGCAGAGAGGGTAAAATCTCAGAGCCTTCATAGTTCCTGGTAAGCATTAGTTTATTTTAAACACTGGGTATATATTTGATAAATGTTTTTTTTTCCAGTAATCATTTAAGCATTATGAAGGATGGATTACAGGAACTTGAGACCAGTTAAAAGGTCATATAGTCCACGATAATGAGGACATAAAATCAGGTAGTATTGGTGGGAATCAAATAGAAGAGAGAAACTTAGGAGATAGAATTGACAGGATTGGGAGACTAATTGAGTGGGAAGCAAGATGAATCAATGACAGTTCCACAATGTATGGTTTGGGAGACTGGCATGCTGCGGTCAGTCAAGATGTGACAGGTAGAAGATGGAGTTTGTAGGATAAGGTGGCAAATGGGAGGGTGGGGACAGCTGAGCTGAAGTAAGCAGGCGGTTGGATTAGGAGTCTAGAGCTCCAGAGAGTACTATGGATGAGAGAGAGATTAAGAAGTTAACAAAATATAGATGGCCATTAAATCATAGGAATGGATGAGATTGCACAGTGGATGAGATTTTAGCTTCTATAAAAGATTCTGAAAATGTGTTTGGATTGCTAGTACAGCTCAGTGGTTGACTAATGCTGGTTGCCACCCCCAACCCTGCTATTTCCCCATCGGTGAATAAGAACAAAGACATCAGGCCTCCAGCAGAACTGCATAGATTGGAGCCACATATGAAAATAGATCCCCACCCTCCAGGCCTGACCTTATTTTCAGGGGACTGGGTTTGAGAAAGTTACTTTGAGAAATGAGTTCCTTTGCTGAAACGCAGGTCTGCAGAGAGAATGAGACTGCAAAGAGAAAGGCCTAAAGGCTGAACCTGCAAAGACAGATGAGACTTTTGGGGTGTCTGGGCTCTGCTCCTTTCATATAGCCATGACTTTTCTGTAGGAAACAAGTATGTAAAATGGGGTAACTGTCGGAGCCATTATGGGAGGTCCCGCCCGTGACGAGGTCACGAGGAAAATACCGGGCAGGCAAGGCCGTCTAGGATAAGGGACCCTCCAGGTTGGCCTCGGCCTCTACCCCACCCTATATCCTCCCCCCTTTTCTGCTCTTGTTCTTATTTGCCCTGCTGCGGATTCTTGTGTTGCCTGCCGAGAGCTCTCCTGCTCCTCTTTCACTGAATGAAGACCAACTTAAAAGCTAATTAATAAATCTCCTGGATGCTGGTACCCTATGAACGGGCCAGGGATGAAGGAAATGCTTCAATTCAAACCCTTTTGCTGGCATTCTGGCTTGTTTGATAAATGTGTGCTCTCATTGCACAAAATGCTCATGATTGTTCTAAACATCCTAAGCACAGTATGCTAACAAAAGAAACTATTAAACATAGATCCCTCTGCGTGGTGAGAAAAGCTCCACAAATATTACAGCGACAAATGTGCCTAATAAAATATAGTTTAGATAGAGATTAGCTGGTGACTTCTTGCAGGTAATTAACTTTTAGACTAAGAGCCTGTTTTGTGCCATATCTGCTGTTTTTGCAATCCTTTGCATTTCTGTTCTGTAAAAAATGTAATCCTATCTAGTTCCCATGGAGATGACACCTAATAGAAAGAAAATAGATTAACCACAAGTAAGACAGGGTCGGCTACTGAAGTTGCTTAAAGTTGCACCAGGTGCAAGCCATAAATTGTCAACAGGCCTGAAAGCCAAAAGATATTATACATAGAGATTAACCATAAAAAAGGCCCTAATAGGCACAGAGCCCTTTGGGGGTTGAGGAAGCCCTATTAGAGAATAACAAAAAATATTGTTTTAAAAGTGGTTATTAGATCAACGTTTGATTGATGTTAATGTGCTGAGGTTGTGCAGTGGAAACTATTGTTAATATAGTTGGAGATCTAGTAAAATAAGTGTTTAGTCCTAGTGTAAAAACAATAAGGTAATTGTTAATTTTAACCAGGAGTGCTAAACAGGGGCTGCCTCACCAGAGCCACAGAGTCTTTGTGTGTTAAACTTTTTAGATAAATTTAGCTGAGAATTTCTGCAAAAAGACACTTTACATGAACAGGATTGTATTTCTATTCTGTTGCAACCTGCTGTACCATGAGACCGCCACTTTTCTGTTTTCTGCTGAGCTCAAGGCCAGAAGATAATGTACAAAAAGTCTATGGGAAAAGACTCTCATAAACAAAAATATACAGAGCTCACCTGGTCTCGTGAAGGACAAGCTGATATAACGTTAAACTAAGTCTGTGTGCTTATCTGCCCCTTAGAAATGTACCGACTTAGGGTATAAAGGCGATGGTGAAAAACAAAGCAACTGCCAGACTCTGCCACATTCCTGGTCTGGTCTCTTCCTCTCTCTCTCTCTCTCTCTCTCTCTCTCTCTCCCCCTCTCCCCCTTGCAGACTTGGCCCCATCAAGGCCGGTCCTACGTGTCTTCTCTCTCGCTGACGCCGTTCATCCTGAGGGTTCCCCTGGATCCTGCTGGGGCTGGACCCCAGCAGGTAACCCACCAGATTAACTGATCTGTGATATTTTGGCTTCTTTTTCTTGATGCCTTCGTGTATCTTAATGGTAAGCTTTGTGAATGAAGGCTGAAACTTTTGGATTCACTGGGCTCAATCATGGTGTCCGTCAAACCATTGGCTTTGAAGAATCAGGTGGTCCTGACTTTTAATATACCACCTATTATCATTGTGACCTTGGGCAAATGGCTTTGAGTCTCAATCGCCTTATTTACAAAAATATGGCTGTTAATTGCAATATCACAGGCGTATTGAGAGGATTAGAGACAATGGACAAGTTTATTTCTTCAACTGAAAAAAGGTTGGGCTCCATGATTTCTAAACCCCTGTCTGGCTTGGGTTCCATTGCTTGAGATTTGGCATTTCTTTTTTCATCACATCTTGATGATGTGGCATTTCTTTCTGGATACGGTCTTTTTTCCATGTCCTTCCTCCACAATCTTGATTGGAGCTCCTCAAATGAAGTCTTTCTTAAAAAGAACCCTTCACAGTATGCCTATGCTAGAGTTTAGAACTTCTGCCTTTGAGAATAGCTCATGTGTTCTTTTTTCTAATTGCAGTTTTTCCACTACTCCCAAGGGCAAGTGTATGCTGGGAATTATCCACCATTTAAGGACAGAATCAGCTGGGCTGGAGACCTTGACAAGAAAGATGCATCAATCAACATAGAAAATATGCAGTTTATACACAATGGCACCTACATCTGTGATGTCAAAAACCCTCCTGACATTGTTGTCCAGCCAGGACACATTAGGCTCTATGTTGTAGAGAAAGGTACTTCCTTGAATATTTTTGCGGTAGTAATACAGCCCCCTTAAGAGTTATGTTTCGGATGTGTTTGAAAGGGGTATTTCTGCCATACAGTTATGATCCCTGTTTCCATGGACTGTGGCTCTATGAAGCATCCGTGGGGGTCAGGGAACTCATTCCAACTGGAGTGTTCAATTTCTGCATTTATATACCTGCTGTCTGGAGCATATGGATCACATTCCAGGAGTATGAGTTTTTCATTGTTAGTTAGAAGTAAGACCAGATTCATTATAGTTACATGTGGTGGGTAGTGGGGAAGGAGATTAGTATTGTTTTCATATTCTGACTTCTCTGGTGGCTCAGAGGGTAAAGCGTCTGCCTACAATGCGGGAGACCTGGGTTTGATCCCTGGGTGGGGAAGATCCTCTGGAGAAGGAAATGGCAACCCACTCCAGTACTCTTGCCTGGAAAATCCCACGGACGGAGGAGCCTGGTAGGCTGCAGTCCATGGGGTCGCGAAGAGTCGGACACGACTGAGCGACTTCACACACACAATATTCTCCAGGAGAAAGCTTTAACATTGGCAGAAACAGTATAGCTATTTCCTCACCTTTTTTTGGAGAATAAGCCAGGAAATGCAGGTTCTGGATCTCATTTTGAGACAAAGTCTGCTTTGTTGGAGAATAGATTGAGGTAAATTCACATACCCAACTTTTCTTTGAGTTAGAGCATTGAGAGGGGTTTTATATATATATATATAAATTTGTTTAGTTCTGAAGCTCATTCTTTATCAGTTAATGTTCATATGTCACCAGTTAGGTATTAGGATATCATAATTTGGATAATAAAAGAGTGTTGTAATTGCTAAAGGAAGACACTTGTTTATTAACTTAATACAATTTCATATGTTCTCTCCATAGCGATGTACCTTAAACCTATTTTGTTGTTCTTTCTCTCTAGAGATTTTGCCCGCATTTCCAGTTTGGGTAGTGGTGGGTATAGTTACTGCCGTGGTCCTAGGTCTCACTCTGCTTATCACCATGATTCTGGCTGTCCTCTATAGAAGGAGAAACTCTAAACGGGATTACGCTGGGTAAGAAGCTCTGCTTTCGAGGGGAAAGTTGGAGGGAAGAAGTCAAAATATGTGAAAACTTCTATATGTTGTATGGAAAAAGAATGGTGAAGAATTAGCTACTGTTAACATTCATGTCGGAACTGAGCTGTCTCCTTAGAAGGTGTTTTGGTGTGGGCAAGCAGAGATCAATGGACTGCCATTAAACATGGAATATGATGCTAGCATCTGCTTCAGTTTCTTTCTTAGGTTTGGTGAAGTGGACTGCTGTCCGAGTACCTTCCACTCTGAAATTAGTATTATTAAGCCACAGATATCTTTCTCCATTATGAGTTTAATTTGATCTCTTGGTAATAATCTTACAAGGTTCTTCTTTTCAATTAGGTAAATGTAATAATCATAATAATACCTGGGAAGAGTGTGCTGATAAATGACTCCTACCTGATGTGATGATGCAGGACTTTTCCTGTTTGTAGTTGTATAAGTAGTTTATGACTTTGATTGTTCTTGAATGCATGGCTAGACTCATCCAAGGGGGGTAGTAAGAGTTGAACACCAAAATATACCAGCAGTAAAGAAATGTATACTTTCTTTTTGTTTGTGGCTTCTCAAAGAGAACACATTTGAGCAGAGGATGCGTGTCTAATTGAAGGACCCTCTCTTCTTGCCACTCCAGCTGGACAGCTAGCCCATATAAGCTCTGTAGAACTTGTGTGGTAAGACTGAGAGTGAAGCTGGGTTTCAGCTGATGGAGCACAAGCTGCGTCCCAAGTGCACGAAGGGACTGCGATCTGAGAGGGTTGCATGCCCTGAACTCCTTGGCTGGTGGTTGGTAGAGACCTCTCTCTCTGGGCTCTGCCGCTTTACTTTTTAGGAGTGCTGTGTTTTAAGGAGTTTGAGTGTTCAAATTCAGACATCACTTGCTTGGAATGTTTCTGTTTTGCTGACTATACTCGCTCCCTTGCATGGTGAGTAATTTATAATGAAATATAACTGGAACATTGGTTTTCAACATGAAACTAATCCAGGTGGTGACATGCCAATCTGTAGTTCATGCTTTTGGGTTAATGAAAGCACAGAAAAGTGTGCCTTAGAATCTTGCATGGCATCATGAATGCTGCTATTCTTCTTACTTGTTTTTTTTTCCTCCTCCCCTGCCTTTTCTACCTTGGTGTGCCAAGATCAGATCCTGCTTATCTTCCACTTCTTAAGAAAAGCTGACATAGACGACACATTGGGACTATAACAGGGCTGGGTCTCCTCTTCCACTCCCACTAGACACATGGTAACCAATCACACTGGCTGTTGCTGTTAATTTTCCTGTGTGTGTATTCAGCCCATCTCCCTTGTTGACAACTAACCATCTATCTCTGAGCTAACCACACAGCTATCATAGTTTGTCCACAAATATGTCCTGTGTCTGTATTAGAAACATGTTGAGTGTACCATCCCAATGAAATTGGGTTGTCAGGTTTTATGGTCATCTGAACATATATGTTCTTCATGTAAGATGCCTGTGTGTGTGTGTGTTAGTTTTTTGTTTTAATACTTGAATTGTATTATTACTGAGTTAGACCCTCTTTGTGTTAGAATGCACAAACCATTTTGGTTTGGGGTGTATAGCCTCCCAGTTCAGAGAAAGCACGGTTTGCAGAACGCTTTGTATGATTTGCTCTTAATAACTACACTTTAACTGATTCTCTCCACACTTCTAAGATTTTTTAAAAAGTACATCATAAAGGATTTAAGCTCTGCTGAAAACACATCCCATCAAGGAATCTGTAATGAGTCACCTCTTGACATCAATTCTCCCTGGTTTGTTTATGAGATAGGCCTTGCTGTTGAAAACCCCCTGTGCCCCTAAGAAAGTTCAGCCCATGTGATGTGGCATTCCATAGTTTCTCATCATCCATGACTTCCTGGATTTTCTTTGGTTTGGTTGCGGAATTTGGTGGGGAAACAAACAATGGGGGACCCAAGGAATTGAAGATATGAGATGAGCCAAGACTACAAGCCTGGATCTGTATCTGTCATTTTGGAAGCACATTCAGAAGAGGTTTGCCTTTGATGATCACAAAAACAAAATTGCTATCAAGAAGGTATAGCTTGCTCCTTTAAACCTGTATGCCAAAGGAGGATTGATAGCAGGGGGAGAAGCCCAAGCAGCCAAAGGAAAAACGTATATTACAGCCATAATACCATTCAGCAGGTGGTGATGTTGTAAACTGGGGCAAAGTGGTCATCTCACATTGGTTTCTGTACCTCCCCTGGAGTAACATCACTGACTTGGAAGAATTAGTGTCAGGGATAAAAATTAGTTTCAAGAAATGTGATTGTTTTGATACTCATTGTTTTGTTGAGTTTTGTTTTTATATATCTGCTACTTCATCTTGTCATCACTTGCATTTCTATATTTTATGTTTCCATTTTAATTTTTTTCTTTTTTTACATTTGTTCTCCAAATTGCCAACTTATCAGCTGCAATACATCAGAGAATGTGTCACCAGTTAAGCATGTTTCACGGAAGTCTCCCCCTGACACAGAGGGTCTAGTAAAGAGCCCACCTTCTGGATCTCACCAGGTAACAGCTGATTGCAGTTCTGTGCCCTGTACCATGCTCTGCAGTTTGGCGCTGTGTCGTGTTCTGGGATGTGGAAAAGAATGATCCTAAGCTGTGAGAGAGTGAAACAGAAAGAGCAAGAGAAGCAGAGAAGAATGTAGGGGTTGGTTTAGGAGGAACACAAGAAAGAATGTGGAAAAGGATCTGACTTGAGTAAAGGTTTCCACCAAACCACCACTAACAGATTGGCTCAAGCACAATTAGGAGATGACTGTCAGATGTAAACACTTCTTCCCTAATTGCTCAAAGAATTCAAGCTAGTGAACTAGATTCTATATTGAGGTGTACCTTAAGCCATGGAATTCACAGGAGTAAGTTGATTTTGGTATTGATAATAAAACAGAAAAGTTATTTTGTATGAATTCTTTAGAAGAAATAGAAAGTAAACAGTTGCTTAAATAATTAGGAGCCTTAATGAACAAGGAAAATCTGGTTTCTACTTTCTGTAGAAAGTACAGAGAAGAAATAACTTTTATTTGGAACTTAGCATGGAATCTAGCATTGTGGTTAATACTGTGTTTTGTCCATGCTGATATAACTATAATTGTGGCATGGCAGAAATTGTGGCAGAGCTTAGTACTGATTCTGTTCTTCTGGGATAGAAAGTGTTAGAAGGAATGTGGCCAGTTATAACTTTGCTCTGAGGAGGAGGGATTAGGGGTGTAGTGGGGTGCATGGATTTAAGAGGAAGTAAAGAAAAGAATAACAGTGTTTTGTGGAAGAATTACCCCACGGTCTTCATCTACAGTTGTTGTATGTGGTGAGGACACTGAGGCGTTGTGATGTTAAATTATTAAAAGCACAGAGAAGTTAGCGACAGAATTGGGGCTCGAACATTAGATTTCTAGGCAGCATGTATTCTTTCACAGCATCAGGACCTTACTTAATCCTAATCTGTCTGTTCATCTCTCTCATTCTTTTTATCTGTGTGTCTTTCTGTCTCTCTCTCAGTTAACACAGGATGCCTCGGATACCTGATTCACTCATTTGGATTGTGAATGGGAGTAAGGTTGTGAATAAAGGCATAAATAAATAAAGTTACTGGTAGACATTATACCTAGAGAAGCCCTGGAAACTTCTTCTTCTGCCCCTGAAATGCTGTAGAACTTGTTCTCCTATTGAAAAGAAACTGGGGGTAGGGGGAAGAAAGAATGAATTCTATACACTGGAAAATAGGTTGTTCGGTACCATGATTCCTGAGAGAAGGGAGCAAAGGGCAGCCCTGTGATCGTCCCGGCTTACTCCTTAAGGCGTTTTCCAGACTGCAGTACTGAGGGGAAATAGAGGAGACAGAAATCCGAGTTAGGGGAGGCCAAGGTGGCTAGGATTCATGAGGCACTGAACCAGAGAAGGAGAAACAGAGCATAGAGAAGCAGCGTCAGGATCTGGGGTGGGTCCCCTTGAGCCTTTGCTAAATACAGATTTGTGGATGCGTGTGCGAGACGTCCTGGTGGCCAGAGGAAGAACTGCAGTAGGTTGTACAGTGCCCCGAAACTTATCCAGGTCTGTAAATAGTTGTGTTCTCAAGAGCCAGGATGGAGAGAACTCATTATGTACAGGGTATTGGTTGGAGTTCCCAGAATGGTCATACGTTAGTTGGATAAGTTGCATCCAACTCTTTGTGATGCCATAGACTATAGCCCTCTAGGCTCCTCTGTCCGTGGGATTTCCAAGGCAAGAATACTGGAGTGGGGGAAAAAAAAAATACTGGAGTGGGTTGTCACTTCCTTCTCCAGGGAACCTTCCTGACCCAGGGATTGAACCCATGTCTCTTGCATTGGCAGAAGATTCTTTACCACTGAGCCATGGGGGTAATGAGACTAAATCAGCACCAGATTATGGATGCTATGGACCCACCATAAAAATGAAGCATTTAAAGAATCAAACTAATCTAAAAGTAATTTAGGTGCATGCCAGCACAAAATCCAGTCTTAACAACAATATAGCAAAATCCAAGAATCTAAAAAGTGTGTGTGTATATGTATATAAAAATAAGTATATGTAGAAAAAAGTGTATGTGTACATATGTGTGTGTGTGTGTATAGCTGGATCACTTTGCTGTACTCTTGAAATTAACACAGTATTATAAATTAACTGTGCTTCAAGTTTTTAAAAAGAGAAACACCGAAAATCAAAATCCAACACCTGCCGTTGAGAAACTCACAGTGTCTGATTGGCTGTGTGTGTGCTACGTCCCTTCAGTCGTGTCTGACTCTTTGCAACCCTACGGACCGTAGCCCATCAGGCTGCTCTGTCCATGGGATTCTCTGGGCACAAATACTGGAGTGGGTTTAGATGCCCTCCTCCAGGGGATCTTCCCAATCCAGGGATCAGACCTGCATCTCTCATGTCTCCTGCATTGGCAGGTGGGTTCTTTGCCACTGGCACAACCTGAGAAGCCCACCCCAATACAAAAGTTTTTGGTGTTAAAAAAAAACTCACAATGTCTGATATCAGTCAAAAATTACCAAGCATACGAAGAAGGAGGAATATAAAACATATAGTCAAGAGAAAAGTCAACCAATAGAAGCAAACCCAGAAGTGACATAGGTGATAGAATTCATAGACAAGGACCTTAAAATAAATATGATAAATCTTAAAAATAAACTTGAGGTTGTAAGGGAAACCTTAATATAATATGGAGAGAAATAGAAATATAAAAAAGACCAAAACGGAAGAAACTTCTAGAAATGAAAAAAACACTGGATGGCATAAATGACAGATTAGACACTATGGAAGAAAAATTCGGCAAACTTGAAGAAGCAGTTGAAACTAACCAAAACAAAGCATGAAAGAAAACCTGGGAGACGTGAACAAAACTACAGTAGTAAGCTAGCAAACAATATTAAGCAACCTGATTGGAGGCTGAGAAGGAAAGGGAAGTTAAAAAAAAAAAAATTTAAGAAATAGTAGCCAAACGCTTTCCATTCCTGTAGTGTATTTGCTCACTTATTCTTCGTTTGCTGATCTCTGTTGCTGCATGTGGGCTTTCTCTGGCCGTGGCTGTTTTAGGCAGGGGCTGCTCTTGGCTGCGGTGCCTGGGCTGCTTATTTTGGTGGCTTCTCTTGTTGCGGAGCACAGGCTGGGCGTTGTACGCTCAGTAGTTGGGCTCAGTTGCTCTGTGACATGTGGAATCTGCCCTGACCAGGGCTCGAATTCGTGTTCTCTACATTGGCAGGGGATTTGTGTCCACTGTACCACCGGGGAAGTTTCTCTTTTTGCCATTTTCCCACTGGTATTTATTTTCATATTTCTGAGCAACTTTATTACTGAATTTAGCCCCTCCCTGCAAGCCCTTCTTCCCAGCATACACTTTCAAGTATGTACACAGCCACATGCTTCTTCCCAGTATGGATATGTGGTTAGGTGGTGTTTTTCACTGTTACATATGCCTGTTTTTGTCCACTTTTGTACTGCATACATTTGGTCTTTTGTACATTTTTGTTGTTGTTGTTTGTCATAGAGCTCATCTTTACTTTGGTTTATGTTTGCTTAGTTTTCTAAGTGCTTATCTATTAATGCACTCCATCTCAAAACTCTCCAGGCAAAAAACTCTGAGCACATTCTGATACATCAGATATTCTGTTGGTTTCATTTTATTCATGGAAACATACCTGTTGAGATATTCTGGCTTTGTTGTACTTTAGGCTGCTGTGTAGGAATCATCCTGGGCCTCCCCTCCCAAGAAATTTTCTTTCTCTCGCTTCTGTTGGACCTCAGATCCTCACCTTTTTACTTTATTCCTATAGTGTGGTAGAGCATATCCTCCATAACTTCTTGAGAAAGGATGCACAGCAGATACGGATGTTGAGGCTTTGTATGGTATACAGAATAATGACCTCCAAAAGATGTCCACAGCCCAATCCCTGGAACCTGTGGGATATGTTACATTACATGTCAAGACCCTTACCTTATGGGTCTTGAGATGGGGAGATTTTCCTGGGTTATCCATGTGGGCCAAATGTAATTGGGAGGGTCTAAGCCAGAGGTTTGAAGACTATTCTACTGGCTTTGAAGATGAAGGAAGGGGTCACAAGCCAAGGAATGCAAGCGGCTCCCATAAGCTGGGGAATGCAAGGAAGCAGATTCTCCCTGGAGCCCTTAGGAGAATGCAGCTCTCCTGATGCCTTGATTCACCCCAGTGAAACCCATCTCAAACTTTCAACCTCCAAAACTGTAAAATATGCTTGTCTTCAGCAGGTCTGAAATTGTTTTTATTCTCCTCCCTCAAGCTTGACTGAGAATCTGGTTGGGTCGGATTCCAGATTGGAAATCATTTTCCTTCAGCGTTTTGAGGCATTGCTGGTTTTTGTAGCTTCCAATGCCAAGAAGTTGATACCGTTCTGATGCCTCCTCCTTTGTGTAGGGCCAGTTTTTTTCCCCTTCTCTTAGAGTGTTTTTTTATCCCTTGTGTTCTGAAATTTTATCAAATTGTGGGATTTTTTTCATACATTATACTGGCTACTCAGTGGGCTCATTTTTTCTGCTTTGCAGTTTTCTTCTAGAAAATTTCTACAAGTTTATCTTCCAGCTTTTATTAAATATTTAATTTCTGTTATCTTCCTCTTAATTTTCAAGAACTGTTACTTATTCTCAGATTCTAATAGCCCCTACTTGTTTTCATGAATACATTATCTTATCTCTCTGTATAATTTTTTCTTGTTTTATGTAATTTTTTAAAAAATGTTTTCTTCTGTTATTGTTTCTTTTGAATTCCCTTTTTTCTTGTACAGTTTTTGTCTTCATGTTAGAAGCTTTCCTCAAATGCCCAGTGATCCTTGGCTGTCTGTTCATAGTGAAGGCACCCAGTAAGTGGACTGAAAAATGAAAGTGTTAGTCGCTCAGTGGTGTCCGACTCTGCGAGACCATAGACTGTAGCCCAGCAGGCTCCTCTGTCCCTGGGATTCTCCAGGCAAGAATCCTGGAGTGGGCTGCCATTTTTTGCCTGCCCTGCTTTCAGC